AGACGGAAGCCAGACTCCATGGATTCAAATTCCAGCTCTGCCTTATTAGCTGTGTGTCTTTGGTTTAGGTGCTCAACATCTCTGTGCCCCACTTTCTTTTATGGTAACTATTTAGTGGGGTTATTGTAAGGAACAACTGAATTACCATTTCTAAAGCACTTAGAACAACGTTGGACACTAGGTAAATAAGATGTAAGAGTTGTGGTGACAGGTGCAGGAAAAAAGAGACCCAGAATTCTGGATCTTTATATAGAACTTGGAACCCAGCTAAACTGAGGGGGCAGTGGGCTCAGGTTGAGAGGCAGGTCTCACCCCCAGCCTGGTTCAATTCTCTCACTCACAAAGCGGGCTCAGCTCAGGCCATCTCACCTCTACGCATATCTCACCTTCCACTGTCAAACAAGGAGGTTTGATCTGTGGGCATCAGGCTCCTCCCAGCCATCACTCTGGGTTCTGAGAAGGCCTCCCTGCAAACACGCTTCACACTGTCCCTTGGTAAGGACCTGATGATGGTTTCTTTGTGGGCATTAGTCATCTCTGGGGTGAGCTGGCGACTGGGGAGGGGAAAGGCAATTCTTAGATCAGCTGTGGGGGGATCAGGAAGACCTCCCTCTGTGGCTGGGCTTGCCTCTTCCACCTCCTTCCCCCTCCTTTAGGGAGAGGGGACACATGGCAGGGATGTCACCTTTGCTCACAGGGTAGGGCAGGGAAAGGATGCAGTGAGGCCTGCTTCCACCTCTGGTTCAATCCTTTGCTCTCCTGGGCCCTCCCCTAGACTTGGTTTCCTCAACTACAGGAGGAAGAAGATCATCAGCCCTACCTGCCTAACAGGGCTGCTGGGAGGAGGTAATTGAAGGGAAGGTGCTTTGTAAACATTTAAGATAGTATCATGATTAATTAGCCACTTCCAGAAGGAAGCCCTTTGGGCCTCTTTTATGGCAGAGAAGAAGCTTCTGGTAATGAGCAGCAGAACTGACTTCCCCACAACTGGTGGGCAAAGTCTCCTGTCAAGAGTCACTGCCAATCCAATGATGTTTTCTAAGAAAAGTGTTTCTGGACAGAAGGGAAGTCCCATGCCAGTGAGCAAGACCCCATCAGGGAGCAAGCACTTCATGCCATCGCATCTCTACAGGTTTGCTGGTCCCTGGCCCTCCTTCTCTGGAATTCAATGCACCTTCAAGGTCTAACTTGGCTGCAAATCCTTCATACAGCCCTGCCTATTTTTCCCATCCTCCCCGCCCCAGCACAATTATTCCCTCCTATTTGCTTTCACAGCACCCTGAAGCCCTCTGTTAATTATATAGTCAACCCCCAGAATCTGTGAGTTTAACCAACTGAGGATCATAAATATTTGAAAAATAAAAATTGCTTTTGCACTTAACATGTATAAACCTTTCCTTTCATATCATCATTCCCTAAACAATCCGACTCCTCCATGCCACACACAGCATTTACATTGTATTAGGGTAAGTGACCTAGAGATGGTTTAAAGTACGTGGGAGGATTTGTGTAGGTTATCTGCAAATACAACGCCATTGTGTACATTTGAACTTGAACATTCAAAGATTTTGGAATCTGTAGGAGGTCCTGGAACCAGTCCCCGTCACATGGATTCCTAGGGATGACTGTACTCTGGTTTTACGAGGGGTAGTGCCACCATTCTGCATGGGGAGTCCTCAGAGGGCAGAGACAGGGCCCGGCTCAGACCACATAAGACAGCCATGAGGTCCAGAATGTGCCCAGTGCCTTCACAGGTGTGTCCCTTCCTGCTGCCTAGGCCAGTATGGGGCACAGCACGGGCACTTGGTAAGCCATTCTGAATGACAGAGTTGGCAGAATTGAATCCCTGTATCTTCCTGGGACAGTGCCTTCAGGTCTACCGGGCCCAGTGGCCACTCTACCTTGTTCTACACCTCGGCTCTGAGCTGTGCTTTGTTCCTTCCTCTTTCATCCTTCTATTCTCTCTTCACATGTTAAAATGATCACTTCTAATCTGTTCCTGTCAGAAAATGCCAGAGAAGTTTGTAAGTGCAAATGTAATCATTCCAAACACGTGTGTGCTTGCCAGAAAACACCGCTAGATTTCTGTATGTTCTCAAGGCTGGTTTCTGGAGTGACCTTTGGACCTGTGTCCCCAAATACTCCCATAAATGCAGTTTACAGCCTCAGCTGGGCCCCCTGTGCTGGTCACCTGTACTTCTATGGCACCCTGGTCAGCTATCTTGCCCACTGCCTACCACAGCGCTAACCTTTAGCCAACTTCTGATTAGATAAGAAGCTTCAAGGATTAGAGAACTTCTTTCTAGATTTGGTCACATTTTCTTAGTCCCTTCTGGACAAATGCAGCCCCTTAGCTCCTGCTCTAACCCATCTGCCTCCTCAGGACCCCACCTCACTTCCTGATCTTCCCCCTTTCCTCATCTACCGGTTTCAAAATGAAACGAAAAACAATCCTAGCCTTATAATCCCTCCAGCTACACAGTCTCTTCTCCGGGCATCTGACAGCATTCCCTCACTTCATTCATCTACTCACATTGACCACGGGCAACTACTACCCCAGGCACCGTTCTAGGCACTAAGGACACAGCAGTGAACACAAAACACCCTGGTTCTTCAAGACCTCACGTCTTCCCCTTTCGAGGCTCCTATCTCTGGGTTTTAGATATCACCTTTTATGCTCCTTCTGCTCCTCTCTTCTGTAACTGAGGATGTTCTCAGGGGTTTCACCCTGGGTTCCTTTTTTATTCTAGTCTCCCTGGGAGATCTTCCTACTCCCATTTGGACACCAGTGACCAACTCTCAACTCCTCTCCAGACGGCATCTAAGAACCTTGTGTCCCAGCACCTCCCACATTCCCCAGTGGTGTCCCACTGAACCTCAATTCCTGCACGTCCCATGACACCTACCGGCTGCTCCCCTGCCTGCTCCTCTCTGATACCCCGTGTCGCCTGAACTGATGACCCAGTCCTATCCATTCCTCCTCCGGAGGATGCCACAGCAGCCTTCCCACTAATGTCCCTGGCTTTGCTCTCACATTCTCAGATCCATCCCACCACTCCAGGAGCCTGAATCCGTTTCCTGAGATGCAGATGTGGTTCTGCCTACCCTCTTTCATGGGTCCCGACCATTCTCCCTCTGAAGTCCCTCCTCCACATGCCCAATCTAGCTGTGCCACACCATTCTGGTGGTTACTTGTTTTACAGATCAAACTCACCCACAAAGCCCACAGTAGTCCAGCCCCGGTTTACTCAGAGGTCAGCACCTTTGGCTCCCCAATTTTCCCTCTCCTCCCATCCTCCTGGCGACACAGCAAACTAAACACTTAACTAAATGCTGGCTCTCTCTCCTCTGGGTCTTTTCCTCTCTCCTTTGTAGACCTTCTGTCAACCCACCCTGTTCTGTTCCTGGACACCTCTCCATCTTGACCTTGGAGTCCTAGTTCTGTCATTCACTCACTTTGTGACCACTGTCAAGACATCACTCAATCCAGTTCCCAGCTTCAGCTATGCATCACAGTTAGGAAGCTTTTTACTCAATACCCAAACAGCATCCCAGACCAATTAAACCAGAATCTGGGGGTGCCCAGGGGACCTCAATGTGCAACCAAGGTGGCGAGCTCCGCCTCTCTGCCTCTGCTTTCCACTGCCTTACAGACAGTTCCATCTAGAAGGATTTCAGAAGGGAGCCAGCTCAAAAGCACACACCTTGGCAGGAGCTGTGCAGAACACTTAGCAAAAACAGCACTTGGGATTGTTCCAGGCCGGGGCCCACAGTCGCCATGTCAGGCAAGCTTGGAAAAGTTCTGTCAGGACCGCTGCAGCTGAGCATGACTCAGCAGGCCTGGCCTTCCTGGTGACCTGCTCCCCAGCATTGGGCGTGGCCCCCACAGCCACCCTGTCTGCCCTCTTGGAAGAAGCCCAGCTCTGATTCCACACACTGCCTGGTCCCCCAAACAGGCCCCCTGTCCTCAGGAGTCTGCCACCCTCATTTTCTAGCCTCACCCCTCTGGACAGTGAACGTGGTCCTGACTGGAAGACCAGGCACTCTCACTCCAACCTCTCGGTGAGGGTATGAATTTTTTAAATGACAGGGCAGTTGGTTACAGAGACAGCCTGAGGCTGTGGAAACAGCAGAGCTTGGCTTCTGACTCTACCATTCACTGGCTGTGTGTCCTTGGGCCTGGTGGATATTTCATCAGCCTGGACCTCGCTTTCCGGGTCTATAAAGTGGAAATCACCACTCATCCTCATAAATATATGCAAAATAGCCAGTACAGGAGGGACTCGGTTATAATCTCCTTTCCTGCCCAGACTCTCTTTTCCTTTTCCCCCTAAAGCAAGTTGGTGGGGCTAGAGATCACTGCCAGCATCCCTTCTAGTCTTGACATGCCAATGAACAAGTGAGGGCAGATCTGGGATGTGCTGTGGGGAGAAAGAAGTCAGACCTCCAACCCATGTGGTACCCTAAGGCAAGACATGAATTTTTGCTTCGCCTGACGCGGTCTCCTGGGGGATGAAGCGGTTTCAACCTGGAATCAGATGCCTTAAAAGAGAGCGCACTAAGTGTGGATGGGGTGTGAGCACAGGCTGGGGGACCACCTAGTGGGGAGGTGTTGGATACCAACTCTGTCTCTGACTAGCTGGGTGACCCTGGGTAGGAGTCTCCTCTTTGGCCATTTTCCTCACCTGTGGGATAAGGAGGGATGATGGTCTGTCTGCCTACCTGGCTGTCTCAAGTGAGATAAATACCAGGAAAGCCCTTGGTGGTCCGAGAATGCCCTATGAACACAGCATCATTACAACAAGTGCTGTTCTGATTATAATAAATGTCCATGTTGTGTGAGAAAATTGGTCAAGATGACCTATAAAGACCCCAGGATTCCGTGGACCCTGAGATTCTAGAATCCTGGCTGGGGAGTCAGACAGGAGTCAATGCTCAGGAGTGACACCCAGGTGACAATGTGAGTATGGGGCCAAGAACAAGGACAGTATAGCACTTACCTTCTGGGGGGCATTGATGACTCCAGTGTTGTAGCCAAACTGCAGGGATCCGAGTACTGCCCCTCCCACGGCCAGCATGAGACGGCCAGTCACCTTCTGCAGAGAGACAAAGCACACGGTTACAGGTGTGTCCAGGCCCACGATACTATAGGGCAAGGCCTGGGCTGGCAGGATCCCTCGTTCAGGTATCTTGCCCGACTCCTGGCACCACACCCATCCCTCTCCCAGGAAACTCGGACATTTCCTGACCTCGGGTGCCTAAACCAGCCCAGCAGACTTCTAGACCTTTTCCTGGGGAGAGAGAGGAATCAGGGTCTTCTCTCTCTGAAGCATGGTCTTGGTGACACAGGGAGAGGCTTTGGATTCTCTGAGGGTCTCTCCTGGTGGGGCCATGCTTGGAATACAGGTAGCCCCAGACTTGATTGGGAGGCTCAGAACCAACTCTCCTATGCAAGCAGGTCCAAATTACATGAAAGGAACAGCAGAGATGGAGGAAGCACCCTGGATTTGGAGCCAAAGGTGCTGACCTCTGAGTCCCGCCCATCTGCCTATGTGCTCTGTGAATTCCAGCAGGCTAGGTCACCCTGCCCATTACTCCTCCTTCCCTCCATTTGCTTGTCTGCAAAATAGGTACAGACACACTTGTCAGCACTGGATACCTAGTCCTGCCCTGCCCTCCCCTTCCCACCTCTCAGTGAGCCCCGAGAAGGGAAGACGTGTTCAAGGGCCTGCTGCAGAGCCAGGGATGGAACCCAGGGCTCTGGACTCCCCATTCAGTACCCCTCACAGCAGCACCCCCAAACCAGGAGCTTCCCAGAGTTATTGGAACACAGATAACACACCAACCAGACCTGTGTTTTGGCAAAGTACATGATGCAAGGTGAGTAAGTGTGTTGGGCAGCAAATGTTTCTAAGGGGCAAAGGGCTGGAGAAGAAAAAGGCTGGTAGGCTCTGTTCCCTGGACACAGAAGGCAGAGGGAGGGGTAGAGGCCAGCAGGTGAAAGGGCCCTGCTTACACATAGGTGAGAGGCCAACGAGGTGTCCACCTGGCTAGAGAAAGGTAGAGGACTCATTCTGCCTTTTAAAACAAAGAAACCAAGAAACATTAGGCAGACCCTTAACTGCTGGGAGAATGGAGTTGGGGAGCATGCCAAAGAAATGGCTGGCTCCCACCTGTCACCATGCCTACACCACCCAGGGCTGGCACTGCAGGTAGGGAAGAGAAGCTTGCATCTTGGGCCACAGGATAGTCTGGAGAAAACTCCATGATAGTGGAGGATAGTCTCAGCCCAGCCATGGCCTTGCTGGGGGTCTCTGCGCCATAGTTGCCCCACAGGAAGTCTCTGGGCTTCCTTCTTGCTTCAAGATCACCACAGATAACATGGGGCATAGCTGCTAAGCAGACAGGTTCCTAGTACTTTTTTTTTCATTCACTAGAAGCCTACAGGGCAAGGATTGCAAAAGCCACGGTTCTCATATCAGAGACTGAGAAAGAGGAAGGAGCCTTTACTGCCCAAGTGCACAGCTCGGAGCCCACTACACATCAGAACACGGGCCTTCCTTCCACTGTCTGTCTCCCCTCCTTGGTTAACTTCTGACATGCAGGGAGCTTTCCTCTTGCCATGAGCCATCTCATTCCTTCTAAATCTTGTCTTTAATGACCCAACTAAAAGGCAATTTCACACACAATCTCTGGCACTGTACCCTGAAGTCTATCTTCTCTCAACTTCCTAGGAAGCCTTTAGACTTGGGGCTGCCAGTTGAATGCGCAATGAGCATGTGACAAACCTTTGGTGGGACCCAGTCAAGATAGGGTTAAACTCAGGTCCTCAGGTGACCACTGGTATTGAAGAGGCTGTGATGAGGTGGTATCACTAGGATGACTCAACAGTGACTGGGTGTGATACTTATGGTAGGGAAGATATGTATTGTTCTACTGCAAATTGAAATGGAAATAAAACTAGCAATGCAAATCTGTGATTTAATGAGATGTGGTAGATTTGTGGCGTGGAATACACAAGAATAAAGCTCTTTAAGTACTGTTTAGGACACTCTTCAAATGAAGTGTTAAAAAGCAGGCTTCAGAGAAGTGTTAGATGCTACCTTTTGTGTAAACAAACAAACCAAACCCACCAAAGTTGGTGGGGCTAGGGACTATTCATATTTACTTCAAAGAATGCACATGAAGGGTAACATTATGCCTCAGGGGACCCAGGTGGCCAGGGATGTGGTGAAAGTGAGACTTCAATTTATACCCTTTTGAACATTTTTGAATTCTGAACCATGTGAATGGATTACCTATGCAAAGTAAAGTTTTTACATGCCCTATGATTTCCTATTATTTGGAACACAGCAATTTAAATAGAAATACTAAAAGAAAAACAATGCAGATAAACCATGGTTCTGGCAAAAGTCATGCTGATGAAGCATAAATGAAAGACTCACAGCCTGCCTGAGGCACTTATTGTTATTACTATAGGCCTTGTTTTATTGAATCCCAGCTCTAATGTTCCAAGGGTCCTTGGGCTTCTGAAGTCACTCTTGGATCCCAGTGGAGCAGCTGCTCAATTGGCACTGCGGACTGGTGGGAGGCAAGGACAAAACCTCTGCAGGACTTTGTCATTGGCAGGTCAAGGTCAAACTCCACATTAGAAAACCTGCCTACCAGGCCCTGGAGTATGGCCATATCCATCCAGGTAGGCTGCTGCATTAGAACTCACTAAAATACTCAGTGACCCGTGCTCCAGGCCCTGTGCTGGGACTGGGGCCTGGAATCAAACAGGCTCTCGTCCTGACGTAAGGAAAGGGCCAGCAGGTCATTGGAGGGCCAGCGGGGAGACAGATGAAGACATGAGGCTAGTGTGTGGTCCAGGCTTTAACAGGGGTGGTATGAGGAACTGACAGAGCCCTGTAGGGAGAGACTTCTAATCAAAAGATGAGTTCCGAGGAGGTGACACTGGAGTTAGACCATGAAGGACAAGCAGAGTCTGCCAAGTAGGAAACAAAGGCAAGACTACATTCCTGGTAGACAGAACAGTATGTGCAGGGGGAGAAATGGGGGCCGATACAGCCAGTAAGAAACAGATGCTCGGACTGGCTACATGTGAGTTGCAAGTGTGGAACGGGGTCCCTGTTCCTTGGTAGGCACACGGCACTGAGCCCAGTCACATACCCACCACACTCAGCTTAATCGTGGCTGGACCTGGAATCAGGGGACTCTGGCTCAATTTCAGTGAACTACTTCTTGCCCTGCCTCTGGACCTTGGATTTCTCACCTGGGAAATGGGAATAATGTTCCTTTCTTAAGGGGCTGCTATTGAATTCTGTATTGGTGCCATTGTGGAGCAGAGTGGAGTTCCTTCAGCAAGTGTTTTCTGAATTAGGGAAGGACAGGAAGTCACCTCAATCGGGCCACCACTGGCCCATGTGTCCCTGCTAGCCCATGACTAAAACTGAAGCGTAGAAATGAAGTCCATTTATTCAGCATGTATTTATTTGGGTGTCAAGCTCATATAATGGTGAGGACTTAGAGAGGGGATACAAACCCCACAACTGTGGGCTTTCTTGTGGAAAACTTTTTTAGGGATGGGGGAGAAAGGAAGAACCCAGAGACTAGGACCCCCAGCATCCTCTGAGGACAGAGCTATCTTCTAGAATATTCCATTCTCTTTGAGACCTTTGTCCTTATTGTGCCCTCAATACCTATCTGCCATTGTGATTTAAGAATGGAAACTGGGTTTTTCATCTCTGCAACCAGAGTACCCTGGGTAGGGAATAGCAGAGAACAGCTGTAAAACAGAAGATCCGCCACTTTATCAATATAGTTTTGGGGCAAAACTATCTTCATGTATCTGTTTTGCCAAAATGGTGCTCATTGGAACTCAGCCAACTTAACTGTTCATCAAATCCCTGTGAGTGCTGGAACTCAAGAGCTCTGAGAGGTGGAAACAAACTAATGGCATCTGCTGGAATCCTCCACTCCAAGCCCACATGGCTGTAGAGAACAGACCTTTGAAGGCAGAAAGAGTTCAAATCCTGACCGCCCCCCACCCTCAGTTCACCAAATGCTCAGCCTCCAGCATACAGAAGGTTATCTCATGTCCCCACTCCTAATCCTTCCTGTTCTGATTCTGGGGGTCTGAGGCCCACCGAAAGCTCTCCCTCTCCCAGAAGTCACTGATGAGGTATTAGCTTCAAGAACCTCTCCTCGGGCTGGGGATGTGGCTCAAGCGGTAGCACGCTCGCCTGGCATGCGTGCGGCCCGGGTTCGATCCTCAGCACCACATACAAACAAAGATGTTGAGTCTGCCGAGAACTAAAAAATAAATATTAAAAAAAAAAAATTCTCTAAAAAAAAAAAAAGAACCTCTCCTCCCACGCACTGGGAGGGTGGGTGACCCTGGCCATGTTGCATAAGTTGCTAAACTCACAGTGGCCTTTTGACCTCTGCCTGCGTGCCCTTCCTGGGCATAGCAGCCTGGTCCCGGGCTTGCCCTACAGCAGGCTCTCAGTCAATATTGGCAGAGGGAGTGCATGAGGCACTGCCTGCTCAAGAGACAGGGTGTGCCCTGAGGTAGGCGGGTCCTAATCCAGCAACATCCAGACGTCACTCCACCTCATCATCCACCTCATCATCCACCTCATCCTCCCACAGCTTCCTGCAATTTCCCAAGGTGCAAGGAGCACTGGACACCTGGCTTTCTAAGCACTTGGTTCACAACTCTAAGTGGGGTGGGAAGGGGTGTGGCAGGGTTCACCTGATCCATGACAGCTCCCTTTTCATTTTCTGTACATTTCTTTTCTAAGATTCCATTTGAACAAAGTTCTGGGCATTAAAAAAGAAAGAAGCCTAAGAAATTACAGACTATTATAAATCCCTCACTTGATGGATGGGAACCTAAGGTCTGGGGACAAGCTCTCAGGATACTCAGCAAACAAAAGCCAGGGCTACGACTGGAGCTCTTAGTTTAGAGTTTCACCCTGTGACCCCTTCCAGCCCAAAGGCTTGTCAAGAAGAGTGATGGGCTAACCTCAGAAGCCTGACCTTCAGGTGACCTCAGGCACTGACTCCTCCTGAAACCATTGCCTTTGAGCCT